AATATAATGCAATGTTGACAAGATTAAAAAAAATAAGAAAATTTCTCCTAATTACGACAAGCTCACATTTGTTTGTACCCCATATTGAGCCACTCTGCCTGTTTAGATGACCTCAAGAATATCAGCGTATGGCTTATTATAGCAGCTTATGGCTTATTATGCTGCGTGTTTCCTTATCTTATACCAACATGCACTAATCCTGTGTGTATCTGAGCACCAATGAGCCCATTTAGCTTTACATGGAAGGGCCCTCAGACTTGAAGCAGTCCATACACAACTGCCACATTAATAGATTAAAGAATGGAGCAGCAGCATGATCGACTTTGCTTATAATACTTTACAATGAAGTTATAAAAAGCCTTTAATTCTTTTTTCTAAACTTCAGAATTCTTATTTTTATTTCTGATTTGATGTGTGTACCATTCATTAAGCTCAAAACTATCTTACTAAAGTTAAAAATGACTTTAGTTTGCTAAATCCAAAAGACTTACTTCACACACTCTTAGAGATTTCAGCAGTTTTTGATAGGGTCTTCACATTTCTATCCATCTGGCTGTATAGATCGAATTCAGAGCATTAAAGTAACAGCATATTTCATTATATATTAAGTTCTTCCTTAATAGTCTTTCTAATAGAATTTAATAGACTATCTAATATAACTGTCCAATCATGCACATCTTGTTAAAAAGGCACTTTACCCAGGCTTCAAAATAACAACAAATGCACCTTTAGAAATGTTTAGTAATGACAATCTACAAACAGATACTTCTAGAAAATTGCCGGCATTTTATTATTTGCGTACCTTGTTTTTCTTTTCCTCCCCATTCTTCTCACAGTGACCATTTATACCAAGGAATTCCTCTCCCTTTACTTTCTGGAACTCTGGCACATGTGACTAGGACATGTGACCATGCACATTATCTCAGGGGAGGAAAATTCATTTCCCTCAGATCTTGTGAGATTACAGATGAGATTTCCCAGCAATGCACTACTGATGTAACCTTCCCAGGAAGCAACACTTGAGCACATTACATCACTTTTGCCAACGAGAACCAGGAAGTAGAAAACAAGAAATTGTTAGTAAAATGAAAATATGTTTAACTAATGAATGTAAGATGATTTCATATCAGCATGAAGAGCTGCACGCTGATGTGACTTTTAGCCAAAGGGGGTAAAGGTCCACTTTAAAGTGTAGATATAAAAAAAATATAAAAATATGTTTTGATAGAATAGGAAAGGGTTAACATCCCTATTATTTTTCTTTTTTTGCTGTTTGTGTCCCATTGAGGAGTTTCCCCTTGTCCTACTGTCCTAGTGATGCAACAGGAAGTGAGAGAATATCTCTACAAAGAGAGGGCAATTTCTCAGACAACTGTCATCAGAACAGATGTTCCCATTAGAAGATTTTCCCTAACCTCCTGCTCCTGTGACAACTGAAAAGTGATTCATTTATCATCACTTTGTCATCACTTTCTGTCAATGATAATGGATTCTAATTCTTCCCTACTATAGCCGAAAACAAAAAAAACTGTGCCCCATCATTTTGCCTTAAGGATTATTTTTCAGATTTGTTTTAATGTCCATCTGTACTCAAAACAAATCCACTAAAAGAATTTATTAGATAGAGCAAACAATATACTCTGTTTTTTTCGATGATGGCAATTTTAGAACATTTTGAAGTTTTCATTTTAAATCTGTGTGCTTCCATACTGTTTTACCATGGCAGTTTGGCAAAAAAAGTGTTTTATTAGCAGGATCAACAGTAACTCAGAATCTCAATGTCAATGACATTAAACCTTTCTAGGGCTTGCTTAAAGTGTGTGTGGTTAATTTAGTATGGCATGCAGGGATTAAAGCAATATTGTTAGGCTTTAAAAGCTAAGCTCAGATGGCACTTGTGAAAGAGGAGGTATTATACTTACCTCTATGGCCTGTGTCTCTTAACTCCATTCTATTCACATCATGAATGCAAATTCCCCCAAACTTCCCTAATTAAAAAAAGTCTGCCTACAAATGAATATATCAGATTACTGGAATGTAATTTCACCCTGGATAACCTGTCGATCATCATGTAGATCTGACCTGAAGCAGGCTGGCTAATTTAGTATTTGTATACAGAGATATTAGCAAATATGCTGAATGACTGCATTAACAAGATTTTCAAAGAATAACAAAGTAATCAATAAATCTAAACATGCCAATGTGTCAGTGAGATTCTTTATTCTATTTGACTGCATACATTTGAGCTGAATGAAGCTATTGCATTGTAACAAATCTTTTACATCAAATCATTGATTTTTCTTTTTTAAATAAGTTTGAATAAGAAAAATCGATGTGATTCAGGTTGCAAGATCAGACTACCAAATAGCCATTCTTAGAACAAACTTGCATAACTATATATGTTTGTATCATCTGAGGAGACACCTCTAATGCTGGACTTGTCTTTGAAAATCATTATGGATTGGCTGGGAAGATCCATTCTGGGTAATCAATTGCACTTCTGACAGTAGCCAGCAAGGGAATGCTTGAAAATGTTACTGGCTTTCTAAAAACAACTGTTTGCCATTTTGACTGTAATAAGATTTTTCAGGTGACAATCAACACAAGTCTACAATAACACAGTATAATGTTTGTTAAGCTAAACAGCAAGAAAATACAATATGTATTTTAGGTGTTTTTGTAACTTATATGACACTGCATTCACTAGTCTCAATCAATAAAATGCATATAAGAGTTCTAGTTTTTCCACAGAGACTTATTGACAAGTTGAGTCATGTTGATGTCTCTAACATCTATGAGTTTGCACAAAAACTTTTATTTAAAAGTTTAACACAAAAGGAAAAAATATTGTTATAGTTGGCAAACATCTACATACAGATGGAATACAAGGGAGTTGTTTTACCTGCTAAGGGACTTGCATTTTTTGTCCATTAAGTGCTAAGATTTACACAGGTCCACTGCTTACCTAGGCATATAACACCACTTACTCACTTACAGCTAAAAAATACAGCGGTGACAATTCCCTGATCCTAGGATGCTAATTGGACAGTGAAGGTGCAGCAGACTGATGAGGTCATCTCTCTGCCTGTTAACATGATCAGCAGCACACACTTTACTTTTTGAGGTTTTTATGCTGCACTCCAGACAATAAGCTAAATAGTGAAATGAAATACATATTAGGGAGCTATATTACCTGCCAAACTATTGTTCCATCCAGTGCTGATATTTACACAGCACTGTCACACAGCACAACCAGGCAGATTGCACAACTTCCTCTGTTGCAGTTATTGACAGCAGAAGAAATACAGTAGTGTTTTCTCTGCAGTATGCTGACTGGACAGTGTAAGAGCAGCAGACTGATGAGGTTACCTCTATATGAACAGCCCATGTCACATGAACTCCTAAATGCTAAAGTTTTCAAGCTGGTGCATGACCAATTGTGAAATCTACAAAATAGCAAAAATCAAACATTACAGAGTCCAAATTCAATATTCAGTATTTTACTGTCATTTCATAATGGACAATGTTCCAGAGACAAGAAGGACCACAAGACATACTGATATAAACGGGTCTACCTGGGACCACCAATAAATCAGCATATGTAACTATGTCCATTCCAGGTCCATCCTAGTGTTGCCACAATTCTTTTCTGTCTGATGGTTCTGTATAGGGGATTGCAAGAGGCCAAATCAAGTCAAATTGAGACACTTACACTAGTTGCAATAACAAAATGACATCATGCTGAGACTTGCACAATAACAATGTTATTCTTGTTACATAAATCTGCTACTGATCAAGTTGAAACTTAAAGTATAGACAGCTTTGTATGCATTTTCTCAGGTGCATTTTCTCAGGTGTAGTTTTGTCAGCACTGCAGTAGCTGTGTGTGACACAAAGGGGTTGATTTACTAATTGCAAATTGGCTGTTCACTTTGCAAGGGAATTTCAACTTTGCAAGGCATTAAGGCAAGGCAAGTTTCCCTTAGCTTAGTGAATGTGGTGAAACTTTCCTTTGTAAAGAATACCCAGTCATGTGAAATGACATTTTTTCTTGAACATGATTCAACTCATTCACTAGTCTAAGGGCAAACTTGCCCTGCTGATTACCAATTCCCTTGCAAAGTGAACAGCCTATTTGTTTTTAGTAAATCAACCCATATGTTCCTTATTTCAATGGCAACCTTTTGCTACATTTACATTCTTTCAGTGCTAATTTTTTTTGCCCCTTAGACATTGAATTATATATTAGTACAGCAGGCATATAACACAGCTCCTATGATCTACATTGAAAGTAATTGAAAATCACAATTTTTTGTTAAAATCATTTAGATTTTTGTAAAAAATGTTGTCATAATGTCCTATGTAGTTACCATAAGAAGCAGTATCCAGAAGACGAAAAAGACAATCAAATTATAACTGCATTCTCAATGAATATAATCATACTTCTAATAAATACGTGGCTAATATATATATCATTGCAAGGGGGACAGTTTTCATTCAGAAAAATCTGTTATAGATTTTCTATGATTAATTTATCCTTTTCGCTATCAACAGCTAACACACTGTTCTAGGTAATTGTTTTACCTTGTAAGTCCTTGAATGTAATTTGTTATTGTAATGTGCGTTAATTTTACTTCAGATCATAATGAGGACACTGCATGTAATATATTATTTCTTATTGTGTATGCTTAGGTTGCAGCTATCTGCATGATACAGTGTTTTATGTTTTATTATATGTAAATAGTTTTAATATTCTTCCTGATGCTATTGACCTATTTATGTGTTCTCAGATGCTTGCAGCAAAAAAAAAATTAAAAAATTGTAGTCTGCTGGGGGGTTAATCCTAAGACATGCTTTTAAATCTTTATGCCAATAGAAGACTCCTGTAGACAGTAAACTAGATTAACCATGCATGTTACATATCTGCTTCATGATTTGTTTAAAGAGTGTTAGGGATAACCAGCTTTCTTGTATTATATTATTAGCCCTCTTTACAACAGGAGATAACTGACTTGGATGTACAGGACCTGGTCAGAAGGTCGATTGGAAGGTTAACAATTATTCGACAGACCTTTCCAGTGCCCCTGAATATGAGTCAACGATGTTACCCTGGCAACCACCGAATATCTACTACACTCTGTGACCCAAAGGACCCATATTCTCAGAGCTTGGAGGTACAGCATTTAACTGCTTGCTACTATGTATATTTAACAGTCCATCTAAAATGTACACATTGCAGTGCAGGAAACTGCTATAACAGTAACACCCTTAGCCTTATTCAATAAAGAGTTTATATTATTAAGTAGGAATTGAGAAGGTTGCCTCAGATCTCAGAATATAAGAAGCCTGTACACATTGTGAAATGTATATATCGAGAAGCATGAACTAAAATGATTTGGTCAGTTATTTTAGCTGCCTAATATCAGAGAGGGCATTTAACATAAAGAATGAGTGGTGGGGTGAAAAATGAACCCTATAAATTATTTTTCTATCATGGAATACACATTATTGCTATTTTTTGCAATGCTATTGTCTATGCACACCAATCCTTAAGCTGTAATTTTGCAAATTCTGGGAGGAGAAAGGAAAAAAGACTTAATATCTGTCTGAAAAAAAAACAGTACAAAGGTCCTTCGAATAACATTTTAAAATATTTTAATTAAGAAAATATGCATACATCAACACCAAAAATATCAGCTGTGTTAAAAGTACCAGTCAGTTGGGTGCCTCATACTTGTGGAAACACATGACTATGCATCAAAGAGTTTGGTGGGAGCAGCACCTCAATGATACTTGCCAGCAGCAGTCCCGCACTTATTATGTGGATAAGGTCCTTGAGCTAGTTAAACAGAATAGGTTGCAGGTCCTGTCATTTTTGCACGCCCCATCCAGCTTCCAAGCTTCCCTGTCATTTTTGCACCCCCCAAGAGCCCAAGGTAGCTGCCTCTTCTGCCTACCCCTCTGTCCAGCCCTGTCCACACAGTATTCTCCATCTGCATCCACGACATCTGCATCCACTGCAACATCTGAAGTCTCAAGCGATAGGTAAGGGAGTCTGACATTGTCTTTGAGAGGCTTTCCTTTTAGCACATCAAGCAGGAAAGATGGGCCAAGCATAGGCTTTGAGCTCACATAAGTTTCCTAACCCCACCTTGCCATTTCCAGATGCATCCTCAACTGGGCAGGTGTCTCTTCCACAACTGCTGGAGTAGAAGAAAAAAATTACGTTTAATTATACCCATGCCCCATATCTCAATGTCCATTTAGAAAAACTTCTAGCTTTACAGCCATTTTCATTTCAGCTCGTGGAGTCAGCTTCTTTCCATGAGTTTTTATGGCCTCAGGTGCACAGTGGTAGGTATTCAGCCACCTTATTTTTGCTCCGAAGACCATTCCTGCTGTCCTCCAGCATGTAGAAGGTAATATCTTCTGTATTAATATGTTGCTGTCCGTGCGGTCAGTGGTAGGGTCCTCATGACCACATACATGTGGTCATTAGCAAGGATGGCCAGTGGTGTTACATACTCCTCACTGCCCACTGAGTAAATTTGTTGGCAGCTGGGAAGTATTCTGGATAGGGCGCACCTAAATTAAATGTGTGCTGAGCTGTGCTAAATTAATTTCTACCTTAGATTGTCAGTGCAAACATATTCAAATGTGTTAGTGACTTTTTTTTTCCATATACATTTTTATTGTTTAAGCACAAAAGACAAGACAGTACAATATAGTGCAGTTGTATACAATGCATGGTGCATGGATCCTGTTCAGGATTTGATGCCAAGGTATAAGATAGGGTACATAGAGTATAATATGTTAGAATGAGTATGTATGAGTACTAAGCCCTGTTGGGCGACGAGGTCACATTCAGGGGGAGTTGTCTGCCTATGAAGGAGAGGTAGCGTATTAGGTCTAGAATGTAGCTCAGCGTCTAAGCAGATTGGTTGGCAAGTCGGTATTACCCAACATAGGTAGAGGACCTTGCAACTCCATGATATAGGTAAAGGCACCATGAAATACTTACACTACAACAAGAGACATTGGGGACACGCAGACAGAAGGGAAGGTGGTAGAGTGGGAGGAGGGTCAGGTAGAAAAAGGTAGGGGAGATGTCGGGACGAGCTGGAGTACCAGTGAGCGGGTCATTGGGCGGCAGTAAGAGGTTCTTTCACAGAGTGCAAAGGTGGCGAGGAATAGTCGGGTCCAAGTACTTGTCAAACCAAGGGGTCCAAATAGTCTCAAATTTGGTAATTTTGTCCTCAAGTTGCGCCGTACGTTTTTCTTGGGCCATGACCCAGTTGACATGGGTTATGACACTGGCTGTGCTCAGAGTTGACATCAGCCAATTTTTTGCAATCTCTCGTTTGGCGGAGGTGCAGATATGCATGGCAAGTTGGAAATGGGTGCGGGAGAGGCCTACTGGCTTACAATTGAGTAGTGCAAAATAGGGGTCCCTGGTCAGTGGCATCGAGAACAGAGACGATAGTACGTTAAAGATTCCCTCCCAGAAGTCAATGACTTGGGGGCAGCTCCACCTTATGTGGAAGAACGAGCCTCGGTCAGGGCAGCCTCAAAAACAATTAGGGGAGCAGCCGGGGTTGTAAATGGCCACCCTAGCCGGTACTAGATACCATCGCATGAGTACTTTATAGTTAATTTCTAACATGCTTGCACTGCGTGAGCTTCATCTAGTGTTTGCCCAGGAATGGTCCCACATCTCCTCAGTGGTAGTGGTCTCTAGGTCTGTATCCCATTGTGAGGTATAGGAGGGAGGGGGTGTGTCTGTTGGGATGATAAGTAGAGCGTAAAGGAGGGAGATAAGTCCAGGGCTGTGTGGATCTTGGCTGCAAATTTTTTCAAAGGGGGACATCCTACGAGGACCAGTAGGTTTTGAGGTGGATGTTGTCATGTAGTTTTTAATTTGGAGGTATCGGAAGATTTCTGCATTCAGGATTTGTTTATGTTCCCGTAAGTGCGGAAAAGGTTTGACACCCAAATCGGATTGCAGACTGCTAACCCACCCCGAGATTTCGGTAAATATAGTGTACGTCTAGGGACTCTAGGCCGTTTAGCCCCCCCATATAAAGGTAAATACACAGGCTTGTAGTTTTCTGAGGGCTGGGGCTGGAACTGCTACTGGCAGAACTCGAAATAAGTATAAGATTTTGGGTAGGAGGGTCATCTTGACCGCTGCCATTCTACCCAGCCAGGACAGGTGGTATTGGGACCAGGTTTTTAGCATGGTTGTAAGCTTTGTGAACATGTCTGGGTAATTAATACTATATAAAACCTGGTAGCAGTGCCCTAGTTTAATACCTAAGTAAGGGAGGTGGTCCATGCGCCATGAATAGGGGTAAGTACTACGTAGGGACTCAACAAGCCGTGGGGGTAGGGAAATATTTAAGGCTATGGATTTGGAGTCATTGACATACAGGCCTGATAGTAAAGCGAATTCCGATAGGAGTTTCGTGAGGGGCGGTAGGGTTACCACGGGGTTTGTGACAAAGAGTAAGGCATCATCCGCAAACATACATATTTTGTGTGATGTGCCTTCGCGATCGATGCCAGCTATATCAGAGGAATTGCGAATTTTCTGGGCTAGGGGTTCCAATGCTAGGGCGAAGAGGAGAGGGGATAAGGGACATCCCTGTCTGGTTCCCCTAAGGATCGAGAAGGGTTGGGAGCAGAAGCCTGCATGTTTTATTCTTGCTGTCGGTCTATTGTATAGTGAGGACACCCATTTAAGGAAGAAGGTGCCAAAGCCCCGGTGGCGTAATGTATGGAAGAAGTGGGGCCATGAGACACTGTCAAAAGCCTTTTTGATATCTAGAGAAAGGAGCATGGTAGGGATTTTCTTAGTCTGGGCTATGTAGGAAAGTAGGGAGATTCTGCGAAATATTGTCACTAGCTTGTCGGGTGGGAATAAAACCGACTTGGTTATTAGAGACCATGGGACAGGTAGGATGCGGGAATGAAGGATGTGGGGCGTCAATGCGGTAGAGGTGAATATATGATCAATTCTGGAGTGGACAGCATGAGGATGAGAGTAGTGTGTGTAGTCAGTTTTAAGGGGATTGGCCTCTCTCCAGCTGTCCACCAGGGAGTTGGAGGATATTAGGTCTCTGAAGGGCTTCGCTAAGTGCAAGCAGGTTTGAGATATTTTAGACTTATCGCGATGTGGGTACAGCACCATGTTGGAGTCCCCACACATGATGACAGCACCCGTTGCGATTGTGTGAATTTTATCGAGGAGACCCCGGAAGAAGGCCAGCTGGTCCACATTAGGAGCATAGTAAGAGACGAGCGTGATCTCTTGATCGTCCAGGAGGCCCGTGAGGATTAGGTAGCGCCCCTGGGGGTCGCAGGTCTCCGAATGCCATATGAAATTGACTGATCTACGAAAGCCAATGAGGACCCCTTTCCTTTTGCACGAATCATTGGCCATGTATATGTGCGGGAATTGTGCGCTAAAGTATTTGGGGCAGGACTTTCTGGAGAAATGGGTTTCCGGGAGAAATATGATGTTAGCATGGGAGGATTGGAAATATCTAAAGGCTCGTGTTCTCTTATTAGGGGAGTTGAGGCCTTGAACATTAAGGCTCAGTAATTTAAGAGGCATAACTAAGGAGGTATCGGTAGCGTTGTTGGTACTCACTCAGCCTGGTCACGTATGAGATAGTAGGTACGGTCAGTTGCTTTGGTGCTCCGCACGACCCTGGAGTAGGCAGTATGACCCTTGGGGGAAAAAAGGGGATAAGGGAGATGGGAGGACGAGAGGGGAGTGGGTACACAGGACAAAAAACAACAGACAACAATACATGTAGGAAAACAAGTAGTGGAATAAATCCACAACGAGCTTGGAACGTTTGGTGGGAGGGACTAAAGCACCTCATCCCACCCAAGGTAACCAAGGTATGGGGAACGCAGTGACACGCTCACCCAGGCAGTGTTATTTGTAAACAGAGTAAAAATCAACCGTAACTTTGAACGTAGCAAATAGAGTAATAGTTTAACTTAGAAACCGTGAACAATTTGTAATTTGTGCAGCAACCGGAATCTGACAATAGTGTTGGGACGAGGGGAGGACAAGATAATGGGGCAATGGGGAGTGTAGACCTAGCTTGGGTGCCGTCCAGAAGCCTATAAGGAACTGTCTAGGTTCTGCACTCTGCAGCCA